AACAGATGGAAAGTAGTATTTCAACGAACTGTACGGTGTCATATCCCAGAAGACGGCACCCTTCAGACCGCAGGATTGCTCAGCAGGATCCATTGACCTTTAAGCTAAAACAATAGTATCTTGAATGTTTACATGATTTGGGGGGGGGGGATCTGGAAAGGGACCACTACGAAAGTCAAGACGTACGTGGGATAATATTAAAATCGATCTTAGAGAAACAGGGTGGGATGGCAAGGACTGGACTGAACCGGCTCAAGATAGAGACCACTTGAAGGCTCTTGTGAACACGATAATGAACCTTGGGGTTCCATAAAATGTTGGGAAATTCTCGAGTAGCTCCACAACTGGAGTCTTTTCAAGGATGGCTCTATGGAGTTAGTGAATGTCTTCAAGAATTTTAAAATTGTGTACAATCATGAATAATAACCAGCGTTATTTATATTTCTATTACTACGTAAGTACCCCTGAGGATCACACTAAGTGCCAAAACACGTCGAGACAGCAATGATTTTAAGCTGATTTCAAGAACCTGTGTTATAATCCTCTGCACTGTAATAATAAACAACGCTTGTCGTATATATGACGGTGTTACTGGTTGCGTAGAGGGGTGGTTACAGCATCAGTCACAAACAGGGATGGAAAATGAATAGCACAGTCCCAGCGACCTAATGACCTCAAGGCACCATGATTTACATTACTAGCCCAATACAAGGCTAGGTTTCCTTCAAAACACAAAGTCCGAATTTTATTTACAAATACACGTACATGTTGCAATTATTACCCTTCATGAGTTCTTTGCATGATGAGCACACAAAGTACATATAAGGGGGGGGGGGTTCTCGTGTCCTAAACCAGTGAAAGGATATTGACTGAATTTGGTAAAATACTGAGGGGGTTCGTCAAACAAAAAAAGTCAATATATGTAATTTTGGTCAGTGTTGGTCAAATGTGCCTCTCCATGTGATGATCATAGCCCTAGCGGACATTACATTTATGAAAAACGTTGGTGAAGTGATATCGGCAAAACACCCCTTTTTGGAGCCATAGACTTCTTTAGAAGATTCTGCCAGATATGTTCGGTTTTCACCTCTTTGTATTTCGCAACAATATATATATTTGCAGAGCAAGGTCGTCAGCCTTCAGTTCAACCCCGAACATGGAGGACCAGGTCTATGTATTTATGTGCCCCAGTGACAGGCTGGCCCAGATATAGCCCAGGCACCCGATACCATTTACGTCCCTTTACGGCTCGCAGGGCTGTGGTAGAGTTATTCTAACATGCCTGCCACACAGGATGGGGGAATGGCACACATCCCATTAAAATCTGCGACTTTTATGTAAACATTCTTCTATCATAATGAATTACAAGAACCCGGAACGTCTTGAATACGAAACAAAGAGTTCTAATCAATCGCGACGGAGGTGTGGAGCCATGCCTCCACGCCTTATTACCGTTACTTACAATATGGGACTAAGACTCAACAAATAAATTAGAAAAAATGCAATTTGCTTCATTCACATTCACCATGCAGTGATACAGATAAGTTCGAGAAAGATGACGCATTACATGAAAAGTTTAGTTCACAACAAACTGAAGCCCGCGTCACTAATGATGTAATACATTTTCATAACACCTAATCAATTTATATGACGATATTACTGAAATAAAATCCAAGAACTTTCTCGTAATGGCAAATCATCGTCACTTTCCAATTCATCTATTTATATGACTAGATTTAAATAAAATAGTGGATTTGTATTCCTTCCATATGCCGTACGTATTAGTCACTGTTTACACTATTAATATTTGGGTCACATTTATAACATAAACTTTTTCATAATTAGACTACCGCTACAGACTCCGTCCACCGTCTTGGGCTTCTTCCAAACCACAACGTTTCGGTCAGGTGTAGGGGAGTCCCCTAAGAGAGTGACAATTTTAAGACCGTTATTTAACGATACTGTCATTGTTGAGATGACAGGGTTAATTAATGTGGAGCAGATGATGGAATGAGAATTAGCAGGGAAAACCGAATCAACCGGAGATAACCGCCAAAGTCACACTTTGTCTAACATAAATCCCACGTGAGCCAATTTTTTGAGATCGAATCCGGGACGCTGCGCCGGGAAGCCTTAGACTAACCATCTCGGCCATGGCACGGCCTTATAAAACGCTAGTCCTAATCAATGGACACCGAAAGCAATTCTGTATAGGGATTATAGTCTTTACATCTTTAGACACAGCTTAGAAAACTTCCTCACTAGGCCATTCGAGACATCCATGACTCCGGTCACCCAAAACGAGGTATAATTCTGAAAACACCAAGACTGCTTCATAAAAGGACGACAGAACTGCAGTGTTCATCATGAACCAAATTATTAACATTTTAATTTCTAAAATTCGTCTTTAACTTTCAGAATTAAATTCTGTTTCATAATTTATGGATATTTACGTTCTATCACAAAGAAACATCGTGAATTCCGTTAGACATTTATGCATGCTGCAATTTGAACATAATTTCCATGAATACAATATCTCTTAAGTCTAAATATGTATAAAAAGCTGTTAACTAAACCCAGAAAGTATCAACTACAACCTAACTTATTCTGTATAGCATGACTGATATGCAGTTATTTTCTGCACGAGACGAAAACGTCTTCAATGCAAACTGAATGTATTGTCAGCGATCATAACCAACCTATCATCCGGCGGGCATCTAAATTAAAAATGGCTTATGCTGGAAGCTGACTACAGCTCCTTCCTACTGAAGAAGTTAAAAATTAAACATTTAACTCCGCGCTTCTAAGGCGTTAAGCAAGTGCTGCTCCCATTTCAGTTTCTGCAGTGAAACATTAATAAATGAAGAAAGCAGTCTTCTGGGATTTGGCACCGTGTATATGTGGTGTTAACCGACGTTNTCAACAGTGCCATCACTGTATGTAAGATTTATGCAGACATGGTTTATCAGTTTGTACTTCGCTTTACAACGTAAGGCTCCTTAAGACAGCTTATATTTAACGACGTCAATACCACTGAAAGAGTTCGAGTGAGATATAAGGCGAGTATGTACGAATGTGGAATGTAGCCTGTTTGAAGATATTAGCCTGACAATCGTCATTAAAGATCGAGAAAAAACAGGAAACCCCTCAATTAGGATGGTCAGTGACCAGGCACAGGGATTCGAGCCAAGTACCCTCCGAACGCAAATTTTAAGCTATTTAGCAGTTAGATTAAGGTAGGAGGCGCTAGTTGTCTGCAATTATCCAATTTCTCGGACGACAGAACATATGACATACATACTTAAATGTGCAAATTTATTTTTTCCCCTTGGCACTACAGCCCCAGTGGGCCTAGGCCTACCTCCATGAACCTCTCCGTTCACTTCGGTTTTTCTAGATCTTACACATTCGGTAGGACTCCTTGGGCGGGAGATCAGCTCGTCGCAAACACAGAAAAACCCACACACTCAAACTAAACATCCATGCCCTGAGTGGGATTCGAACCCACGATCCCGGTTTCCAAGCGAGCGAAGACAGTGCATGCCTTAGACCGCTCGGCTACCGTGACCGGCTGCAAATTTATTAGACAATGATATTAAACAACGGCAGCAATGTTTGTGAAGAAGATAGTAGGAACCAGCTTTCACAAGTTATAAATACTTTTCCATGTCATGTCGCAGTATGTCCGTTAATTATTTATACATCAGTCTTCGCTAGAAATAAAGAGTTACAAGGAATAAATTACAGCACTTCTAAAGCAAGTAAACGGCGAGTGTAGCTGGCCGAGGTAGTGGTCTGGCAAGATGTAACAAGCGCACACAGCATAATCCTTCTTGAGATGCCAGTACTCGCTGAAGAAGTTTACCACCTTCTACCCAAGAGGTCCCTAACGTATTCACAAGAGATCACCACTAGACCATATCCTGAACTAGATGAACCCAGTCCCCATCTTGCAACTCTTCTATATACATATAATTCACTTCAATACATTCCTTCCACCCAGTCTTCTACGAGCATTCTGTCTCCTCTACTCAGGCTTCTGACTAAAATTCTATAAACATTTCTGATCTCTCCAATAAATGTGACATGACACACCCAAATGAACAAGGTGGCACAAGCGGTAATGCTTCTGACTGGTATTCTGAACGCGCCCAGTTTGAATCTCGGCCCTGACAACGACCAACATGACCGAAGCTTCAGCAATTTCCTCCGTCTCTCCAGGAAAATGCCGGGGGCAATACCATAAATTAGGCAACGACCAGTTCCACCCACAATGTTTCCATCAAAATATCATCCAATAATCTGACAATGTACAGTACTAAGTTATAAAATAAACTACAAAATAGTGGCCAACTCAGTCTCCTTTATTTGATAGCCCTATTACTCGGGGGACCACCTATGTGGTCTAGTGGTCAGAGTTCCTGGCTACAGATCCAGAGGTTCGGGTTCGATTCCACGCGCTACCAGATTTTCTGAGAAGTGGGTCTGGACCGGGGTCCACTCACCTTCGTGAGGATAATTAAGAAGCTATTTGAAGGAAATAGCGGCTCCGGTCTAGAAAACCGAAACTAACCGCCGTGAGGATTCGCTAGGCTGACCACGCCACACCCTCTATCCACTAAAGTTGGGACTGACTTCGCCGATAGGCGGCGGTCGCTCGGTCGGCATAGTTCGCTTGCGGACTAAAACCACGGAGTTTTTTTTTTAATAATACACGGTTTTTAAGTAAAGAATTATGAAACTCCCCATTACGCAATTCTCACTAACCTTCTGTTACTCGCCCTCTCTTGTCAGGCACGCGGTAGCGTAGTCGGTTGAGGCACTATGCTACAAGCCGGAAGGTCGAGGATTCGAGCCCCGATGAGGTCATTGATCTTTTTCAATTTACCCAAACCTTTCAGCCGCATTATAGCCCTGGGATAGAGTTATATCTCTGTGGTTACTTTCCTTGTAATAACACAACACACAGTAACTATAACTGTTAACTTTTTCCAGTTTTATTTTAAAAACTAAACAGAAATGATTGAAATGGGTTAAATGTATGCATTTGTGTGGGGCATACAGATCCCAAGAGACAAAGAAACTACGTGTATATTTCTGGGCCATATATATCCCAGCAGGCTTGAAAGGAAGGAATAACACTCAAATTACAAAATTAAGGTGTACTCTGTTGGGACCAGGACAAAAGTCAGTAGTTACATTCTAGAAGGTCATGATATAAACTTCATCACTTAAGGAAAACTATTTTTTTTTTGTTTCAATGAATATATGAACACAAACATTGTTATACGGTACACAAATTTATATCTCATGCTTTAGCAGTCAAAAGTACTTTTTGCACAAAAATATATTCTTATTTGTCAGGTACAGTAAAGAAATCTAAACATTTTGCAACACATTTAATTATCAGAATGAATGTGGATGGATGGTTATTATTAATTTAATGATCTTCCTTGATGCCACTGCTGTGTAGTTCCAGAAGAAAGTCCTCTGCAGCTCCCTTAACCAGATGCAGAGCACACCATCCATGAGACTCCTCAGGTATTACTTCTGTCTCGCAAATGTGCACAAGGTCTTGCTTCTTTTAATATAACAGTTGAAATTTTCATATAAAACCTTGTTTCTTTTCTTTCATGATGAGTATACGTTTTTGCACACTTTCTCCAGGTTTGGATGTCGGGCATGGCCAACCCCTTAGTCAGCATGGTGACATCTATAAAAAAAAACATTTGGGTTTTCTTTTCATATTCAAGATATTTTATTTTTAACCTTGATACAGTTTGCCATATGGCGCAATCCATGATCAACTCGTGAGACAACCTTTGTTAAGTTAAAGAACTTTTTATGACTAAGTTCCTTCACCTCTGTTACATCTTCTGCCTTTCCCAGCATCTCTGAATACTTTGATCCAGCCTGCCATGCAGTCCACTGACTTATTAACCTTTTCCTTTCAACTTCAGAGTGCACTGTCACATTCCATGCATGAACACCTGCATTCTAAAAATTTGTTTGGGTACTCTTACATGTGAATTTGAAACAGCATACATCACCGCAGCCCAACTTTTATTTTTATTCTGGTCCAGCATGTGTCCAAAAATAATAAAACCCACAATTTCAGGAGGTAATTACTGTATCCATTGTAGCTGAGGTTCCCACTTCATTATTTCCTCTTCTTGAACTTAGCTCATTCCAGCAGAAACAATGGCTTTCCTTAATGTCAAATGAAGGTACCTGCAAAATGCTCCTTAAATTAAAGGTAGCAGGATTACTCTGAGCTGGCATCTTGCCTTGTTCCTTGGCCAGACTCTAATCATTCTTACTTTTCATATTCTTATCATAGTTAGTTCTTATGGCCAGTTTTTCTCTTCAATTATGATGGGTTACTTCTTCTCTCCTCCTCTTCATCCGAGTCCTACATTACCTATTTCTAGTAATTCCATATTCATATTATGTCAGTTGTAACACCATAATTATTGTTTGTATTAGTTTCTCCATTATTTTTAATTAATAATCATATTAAAGGTGAATCATTCCACCTTATATGTGTATCATAATTTTGACTCAAGTCATTAGGAATGAATACAGGATCATCTGAACTGTCACGATCTTCTTAGTCTATCTAATGTATGCTCACTTCCAAAACGTTCTTGACTGCTTCAACATTTTTCAAATTAAGAACATGTGGATGGTGCACTGCTATACCAAGGGCTCTGAAATAAAAAGGGTATGCCTGATAACCTTGACAATACTGTGATGGAAGTGACACTATTCAATGTTCTTTGCTACATAATTCAACTAACTTACATAAACTAAAGCATGGACTAAATTAACACAATAACCTTTTTGAAACTCACCTTCAAAATAATGCTGAAGTAGGTTGAAAGTTATATACAGAAATATTAAATTTAACAGAAAATATTTACAGTATTCTGTTGAAAAACAAATTATTGTCACTGTTATCAACCTATGAACAGCAGAAAGAAAAAGTTACTGACACAGGGACTTCCTCCTCAAAAGTGCCTGCTTGTTAGCAGAACTACAAGCCTCAGATACCGTACATATTGGTAAAAGTATGGAGTAAATGCCAAAATATTTTTGTGTTGTCTCCATTAGGTCCATATATAAAATATATATAAAATCAAAATGAAACCGAAATTTTTAAACACATCAGGTATCAATACTAACAGCATAAACTAAATAAGTCATGCATATCTCGGTAATCAACACATATGACTCAGCAGACTATGGGAGATTTGCTGTTTTAAGTCAACATTGTCATAATCCAGGAAACTGCAATCTAACTAACCTACAGCTTTAGCTCATGTGCCCAGTGGAGACTACTGACAATCGTGAAGCTGCTATTCCAACATAAATGTTGACTGCCACAATGTAAGCAGTCGTTCTAGTCCCTGCACACTTTTCTTGTCCAAGTAACATTTGACAACACTTGACAAATAACTATGTTTAGTAAAATTTGAGGTTTTCACGGCGGTGACTATGAAGAAAGCAGTCTTCTGGGATGTGGCGCCGTGTAGAAATTCTGTTAACTGACGTTTCGGAGGAACGTACTGTCTCCACCTTCAGGGTAGAAGATAAGAAATCCGCAAGCGAACCGGCTAGAGCAGGTGCAACAGACTGAGTCCAGCCAAGTAAACACAGTCTGTTTGTTGCACCTGCTCCAGCTGGTTCACCCGCGGATTTCTTCTGGTTTTCTACCCTGAAGATGGAGGCAATACGTTCCTCCAAAACGTCGGTTAACACAATTTCTACACAGTGCCACATCCCAGAAGACGTTTAGGTTAAGAGAAGTTTTGGTGTTCCATCACTTCCATTCCTCTTTCTAAGCTATGTGTCGGCTCATCTGGCATCTTTGTTCCATTCAAATATTTTCACACGGGGACAAGAACAACCGCTCTGACTACAAATGACCTTCAGTTTCAACTTATGGATAGTCTCACATGCTGAGTGAAGCTGAAATTGATCCAAAGACAACATCGAAGATCTGTGATGTTGTGATGCTGCTACTTTTAACTGACAACAAAATTATTATAAAACTCTACAAGTTCATATTTATAAATTTTAATCTGTTACCCACGTTTACTCGAGAATTATCACAATATTGTACTTGAGCATCCTGTTGCATTAATATGTAATTTATTTCATACAAAAATTTCCATCTATAATGCAACCTATTATTGGTCTACATACACAGAATGATAAACAAAAACTACTATACAGACAGGGTGAAGAACCTACAGTCAAAGGAGCATACATTATAACTACACCAACATATCTAGGAACTACACAATAACACACAAATATCCATGCCACTGCACAAGTAAATCCAAACAAGGAGTCCTCAAACAACGTTGTTTGGACAAACAGACTATGACCCCAAGCAAAATATTGAAATTTTAATTAAATTTTAACTACTTTTATTGATTTTAATTAATGTCCATTTGTTTTATGTTGGAGATTTTGCATTCACATATGATATAAGAAATTGGACATACCATACAGTGCAACAATTTTAGCAAATTAGAGACACCTGACAATGGCCATTTACTGCCGAAAGATGTTGTGAGAGGGAAAGGACAGAAAATAATAAGTTACACTGTAGAGGGTAATATACTGTATGAAATAAATGAGAATTACCATCATTAAATTGCAAACATAAAACGTAGTTTCCATGGTATTGTTTCCCATTTAATGCAGAAATGGCCTTAACATAAATTTTAATGCCTTTCATCATACAACATGTGATTCAAAAAAATTAAGTAATAGTATCAGTCATGCCAGGGGCACGCAGTAGCGTAGTTGGTTGAGGCACTGTGTTACAAGACAAAAGGTCGTGTGTTCAAGTCCCGATGAGAACATAAGATTTTTTTTTTCAATTGACCTAATCCTTCCAGCAGCACTATGGCCCTGGGGTCGACTCTAACAGAAATGAGTATTCTTGAGGGTAAAGGGCGGCCAGCATGTAGGGCTGACAACCTTACCACCATCTATGAGGTGACTCTCTAGAAAATGTGGGAACCTCAACATCTCACAACTTTATGGGCCTCCACAGCCTGTTACGTGGATACCTTTACTTTTACTCACTTATCAGGCACACCAAAAAAAGTCATATGGCTAAGATGCTGAAGTTCGTATTACATGTTTAAAAGCTGTGGCATCAGAAAAACCTCTGATGGTATATGATCCCTGTGAAGTTTCATGAGTCAGCCAATTCATTAAAAGAGTTTTAAAAGCTGAATTATATCTCATATTGCCTCCTTCAAGTCTTGCTTCTTTGTAGTGTCTCCAGTGAGTGAAATAAAAACTACCAAACCAGTATCTTGGCAGACACCTAACAATCTTTTTTATTACCATGAAGCAACATGATACTGCATGATATTAGTGTTATATTCTATGACATATTTACAATGTCTTTTAAAAACTTTGTCATCAATTTGAATATTTTATCCACATCTTCTAAAAGTAAACAACTGGTAAAAGATAAAGTGCACTGCTTCTTAAAGGATCTCACTATATTGCACATTCACCTCTTTAGGCTTATGAACCTTATGGACTACATGGGTGAACAAAACAATGGAAACATTATGAAACTGAAGAATAGAATTTCTGTTGGCTATACTGTAAGAACTTCAGCTGGCAACACCAAATGTTTTCCTCTGTTTACACTCTGTAGTGCTCCCGCTAGTGTATTAGTGACTGTGTTGAGTGACAGTACAGGTGAAAGAACTGGATAATGGAGACTTGTACGATTTTGAAAGAGGACAGACCTTTGGTGCGCATTTAGCTGCAGCATCTGTGACAAAATAGTTTCTAAGGTTATGTCAGCATACACGAATCATGGGAAGACAATATAAATGAAGAGAAACAGTGAGTGAAAATCAATATTGACAGAAAGGAGTCATCATATATTGAGAAGGGTTATTTAAAAAATCACAGTACTGCAGCACAGGTGGGAGCAGAACTGAATATTCATTTGCGGGGCATTTCCACAAAATCTATCTGACATGAGCTTCACAAATCCAAAATCCACAGCAGAGCTGCAATTGCTAAATCTCTGATTGCTGAAAGTAATGCTCAATTGCATAAAAGATTCTGTCGCGACCATAAAACCTGGACATCAGAAAAATCTAAACGTGTGCATGATACAGTCAGATGAGTTGTCCTTCAAGCTGTTCCCTACATCTGTCAGGAAGAGTTTATGTTTGGAGAACAACCCAAGGAAGCCTACACTCCGGAATGCCTGGTTCCAGCAATGAAACATGGGGAAGGTGCTGTGATGGTTTGGGCAGCAATATCGTGGTATTCTGTTGGTCCCATTATTACCCATGATGGCCGAATTACTGCAAGGGAGTAGGTGGGCAGGTTGGGTACTCAGGTGCATTCCATGAACCAAAAGTTATTTCTGAACAACAATGCAGTTATCCAAGATGACACAGCTGGAACTGTCCAGTCACAGTTTGAAGAGCATGAAGGTGAACTTCAACAACTTCCCTGGCCTGCATAATCACCAGATCTGAACATCAATGAACCATTCTGGTCAGGTTTGGAGACTAGAGTGAGGAACAGATTCCCACCTCCAACAACTCTTAAAGTAACTTGAAGATGTTCTTCAAGAAGAATGGTATAAAGTTCTGCTAGAGACTGTTCAAAACTTGTACAAGTCCATTCCATTGAGGGCTGCAGCTGTATTGAAGGCAAAAGGCAGTCCAACACCATATTAATAAAGACATGTTTACAGTATCTGTAGTGTTTCCATTATTTTCTTCAACCTCTGTATGTTGCAGTGTTATGTGACTAGTACAGACAGTTTACTGTCAAAAATTACACACAAACAATATGAGTAGACATCCTAAGACCCAACTTTTTAATGCTGACTTACCTTTCATAACATTAATCTACACCATAAGGGTAACAGAGCTGCCCAGTGTTTCCTGTAGAAGAAAATAAGTGTTAGGGCACTAAGCCAATACATAATCATTCACAAGCATGTATGTACACCTTTATGTTATCAGCAGCTACAGTGAAACCTGTGATGCTGGCCACTTCTGTATATTGTCCACCTACCATAGCTGCCTGCATTTTTTATGTAACCATTGAAAACTGTATTAATTTACACTTGATCAGCCCTCTGATCCTTGCCACCTGTCTATCTTGCATCTTGTCAATTTTGTTCTACAGATGCTGTAACGTTTCTTGTGCTGGCCAGACAGAGAATGAGTGGCATTTTGTAATAGTCTGTATGCATGCATGCATGTGATAGATGCTGTATTTTTTTACCTGCATGTTAAAAAAAGTAATATGATCGTGAAGTTTATCATTTTAGGGACAGCCAGAAACAGATGATCTTCTAACCCAACCATACAATGGAGGGATAAATGGACCATGGGTGAAACATTAACTATTACCATTCTTTTCAATTAAAAAAACACAACTAAATTTATAGAAACAGCCACAAGGTGTTCAAAAAACGTGTTCACAATAAATTTGCTTTCTGAACTATATGAAACTGGAAATACTGAAAAAACTGTTTAAGTTCAAAGGTAAAATCACTTTTACGTATCAAACATGGGGTGATATTCAATAAATTAAGATTTTATGTTTACGAGCCTACCACTGGCCTGAACCTGTTTCAGATTAATCCATGGCAGTTACTGTAAAAATTTCACAAAAGCCACCTATGATTCATAGCTTCACAAAAATCTTACTGTAATTACCAGAACCCATTATCACATATGGCAACTTGGGTTGCAATTTCAACAGCTGAAGATAAGAGCAGCACCGAAATAAAAGAATTCAGAAAATGAAGGAATGATGATGGGCGTTTTAGGAACTTTTACACCAAATATTGTTTACACTGAAGTACTGTGAGCAAACATGATAAAAAAAACTATCAGATCTTTGCTGCAGTAACGATGACAAAGTGGTCTCTCAATCTGTAATGGTGGTATTATTCATATCTCCATATTGTGTTCCCTGATAAGGATTGCATTGTATGCAATTTCAACAGGAGTTCTGCTAGTAACACATCACTTTACTGAATAATATGACCAGATACCTTAACAACCCAACAACCACGAACAATATTGCAATCCAGACCGGCTCTGGGGCCCATCCAGCCTCCTATGAAATGGGTACCCAGGACTATTTCTCCAGGGGTACAGTGGCCGGGCCCAGAAGCTGACCATTCACCTCCAACTAGTGCAGAGGTCAAGAAAATGTGGATCTATACATCCACTCCCCCATACTACTTCATGGGGTGGCACTTAATTAGCTAAGCACAGCGACAACTTTATCTTTACCTTTTATCTTCTTACTTCTGAAAACAACTGTTCTCCGATGAACGTGACAGTCTCGGCAAATACTACAATGACGTTTATAAATAACATTACATACATATTTATTTCAAAACAAATAAAATTTGAAAGGCAAACCGCACATGAAAATATGATAAACAATGAACTTCAAATAAATATTACGCCGATATATGCAAAGTCTTACATATATAATAAGAAAACGTTATATGCATACCTGATGATGCAATGCAACACCTGTCATCATTTAACCTGGAATTTGGATAGGAAGCCATATTCTACTTACATCAGGACACTGCACTGTACTAACCAATCTTCCATATGAATGAAAGGCACACGAAGTTATGTAATTGTTGCTTCAAGCTGCAGGAGTACATGCAAGCAACATGCAGAAAAATTACGCGGAAAAAGTACAACTTCCACTACAAATTTACCTTCACAGTTCAACAGCAAATATTAAGCACGCTTAAAACCAAAATTTTCTTTCACCTGAACGGCAAATGTTTTGTATTGGTGTACAGATCGACGGCATCTGTGTAACAATTGGTGAACTATGCACAGCCTTTTATAACATGCGATTGAAACGTAGCAAGACAGAAAAACAAGTTACTGATTGCTCTACAAATGCGATGGTCATGTCATGTGTTCTTATGAACAGCGATCTATATTGAATCGGAATTGTGTGGGTGAAATTATAGGCGGTTATAGCCTACCCCGAATACTTATGTAGAAGCATAAGTGGGGTAGAACTTTTCTTCTCGGTAACTGAGCTTAAATCGATAACAGTAACACATTAAAATATATAGATGTATATGCTCACATTTATCAGTCAAACATTGTTTACGTTTGAAAAAAACTAAAGATAGTCTCTCTCTAGACCGCTCTAGACCACACTGTGCCATATTTTGTCAGCTATTTTACGTGGCGTGTCAGCCGCATTAGCATTTCTTCCAGTTCTCTTAGTCTTTGCCTTCTTTGCCACTCCATAACAGTCACTTCTCTGCTTCATTTTCTTCTGTAAAAAAAAAAAATGAAAATAACTGGCATGTGAGACAAACCTGGATGAAATGAATATTCTCGTATCAGACCAAATATATTCAACCATCCACAACTTCATGCTACACCTTTCACCCAGCTGTCATTGATTTACTCCCTCAGATACCACTGATTGCTGAAGTTCTTTTAATTACTGCCTTTGAGAAATTAACTAGGGCATGGTATTTCCATTATAGGCACTAACTGCTCTGATTGCTGCCTTTTCTACTCAGCCAGCCACACTGGTGAGAGGATGTTGCTATGTCAAGGGGTGAAGCTTACTCTTCAACTTCTCTGGTACTGTACAAGTACCTACATCACATACCTTTCAGAAACAATTATGTCTTCATAAAATACAAGAGTCTGGGCTTGCCAAACAACTTGTACACCAAGGAGCTGAACTTCATGTACACAATTTTTTGTGTGTTCCAGTGTCTGCTGTTTCATGTTCCCACAGCGGAATGAAGGTGCTCTGGTGTAATTTCCAAATATCTTTCATCTATATAAAGACAATCCAACCATAATAAAAGCAAATATGATCTAAAAATTTGTGGTGGTGGTATGAGTACCATAATACAATTATTGACTTTTGGACATTATCCATGTCTCTGTTTTTATTTAAAACAGTCCTTCAAATAACAGGACAGAGAGACAGTTCAGTCTCTGAAATGTTGTTTTGAATAAATACATGGCAGTGGATCTTCAAAAAAGCCATTAACTGCACAACCAAAGCACTTTTGCATGATGTATACTCGTATGTGAATAAAATCAGTAATTATGGGCAATATTGCAAGTAGGAATGTTAATATAACCGTCATGGTATATTTCAAAGATATGCCATGATATGCTATGAATCCACTTTCTACTTTACTGAATGAATCATCAAATGGATTTAAATTAAGAGGTGCGAGAACTAAATTCACAGCACAGAGCCATTCTCGAAAAACTACTATTCATTCGACAAGTCAAGAAATCTCTGCCTTTATGTAACTCTACAATTCAACAATGTAGGCAATTATGACAAACTATAGACCAATATCATTGCTAATAAGTTTTTCTAACATTTTTGAAAGAGTGGTGTACAATAGGATAAAGCAACACATATATACAAACAATTTAATGTCTTTTGCACAGTTTGGATTTAGAGAAGGCAGTAACACAGAAATGGCAATATATACATTGACTAATCATATTTTAGAAACATTGGAAAGATGCAGTCATTCATTGGGAATTTTTTGTGATTTGACAAAAGCATTTGACTGTGTGAGTCATGATATTCTTTTGAGTAAATTAGCAACATAT